ATGGTGTTAATTCTTCTTTAAATGTTTGGCAGAATTCGCCATTGAAGCCATCTGGTCCTAGCATTTTCTTTGTTGGGAGTTTTTTTATTACTAATTTAATCTCCTTACTAGTTACATAGGTCTGTTCAGACTTTCTATTTCTTCATGATTCAGTCTTGGTAGGTCCTGTTTTCTAGGAATTTATCTGTTCTTCTAGACTATCCAATTTGTTGGCATCGTATAATTGTTCATAGTAGTCTCTAATGATACTTATTTCTGTGACATCAGTTATAATGTCTCTTCTTTCATTTCTGATTTTTTGAGTCAGCATTCTCTTTTTTAGTTAGTCTAGCTAAAAGTTTGTCCATTTTGTTGCTCTTTTCAGAAAACCCAACTCTTAGTTTGGTTTTATTTTTTCTATTGTTTTTCTATTTTCCATTTCATTTTACTTCTGCTCTAATCTTTATTAATTTTGGGCTGTTCGTTCTTTTTCTCATTCCTTGATCTCTAAAGTTGGATTGTTTGAGATCTTTCTTTATATCGTAGGTATTTGCTGTAAACTCCCCCCTTAATACTGCTTTTGCTTTACCTCATAAGTTTAGGGATGTTTTGTTTACATTTTAATTTGTCTCATAGCATTTTCTAATTTCCCTTTTGATTTCTCCTTTGACCCTTTGGTTAATCAAGAGTTCTTTAATTTGCACATATTTGTGAATTTTCCAGTATTCCTTCTGCTATTCATCTCTAGTTTCATTCCACTGTGATTGAAAAAGGCACTTGATATACGATTTCAATCATCTTAAATTTGTTAATACTTGTTTTGTGACCCAACATGTGATCCATCCTGGAGAATGCTCTTTATGTGCTTGGGAAGAATATATATTCTGCTTCTGTTGGTTGGAACGCTCACTATGTCTGTTAGATCAACTTGGGTCTATGCTGTTGTTAATGTTCACTGTTTCTTTATGGGTTTTCTGTCTGGATAGTCTATCCATTACTGAAAGTGGGGCACTGAAGTCTCCTACCATCACTGTATTGCTTTGTATTTCTCCCTTCAGTTCTGTCAATGTTTGCTTTATATATCTAGTGTTTTATATATTTAGGTGCTCCAATGTTACATGCTTATGAATTTATAATTACAAATTTATAAAATTATAGCTTGCTGATGAATTGATCCTTTTACCATTATATAATGTCTTTGTCTCTTATGACAGTTTTTGACTGAAAGTCTATTTTGTCTGCTATAAATAGAGTCACCCCTGCTTTCATTTACATGGAATATCTTTTTCCATCCCTTCACTTTCAGCTTATATATAATCTTAAATCTAAAGTGAGTCTCTTATAAGCAGCATATAGTTGGATCTTGTATTTTTATCCATTCAGCTATTCTGTGTCTTTTGATTGGGAGTTTAATTAATTTACATTGAAGTAATTATGGGTAGGGAAGGACTTACTATTGCTGTTTTGTTAATTGTTAAATAAAAAATTTTCTAAAGGAGGAAACTGTTCTAAAGATATAACTAATTGCTGTACACGAACAAAACTGGATCCAAATATCAAAGAGCAAAAATAAAGTCTATAAAACATATTCTTGTATAAATTAGGGAAATATAAATATAGCCTGAATGCCAGATAGTATCACTGTTAATTTCTTAGGTGTAATAATGTAGAATAACCTTATTCTTAGGACATGCATGGTAAATATTTAAGGGTTATATGCCATGATGTCTACAATTTACTTTCAAAAACAGTATTACAAAACAAATGTGTACGTGTGTGAAGAGAAAGGGAGGGTAGGAGGGAGAGCAGGGGAAGAGGGAGAGAGAGAGCACAAATATGGCAAAATGTTAGCTGTTACATTTAAGAAGGGTATATTCTTTCAACTATTTTGTAATGCCTGAACATGTGCATAATAAAAAGCTGGGAACAGTTACCCAAATGTCACCTCTAAATTATCTAGACCAGGATTTGAGGGGGGAATACTCTATGGGTGGAATCCTATGAGCTCCCCAAATTCTATGCAAAGTCACATACATAATCATGTATGTATATATGCCCAGTTTTCCAGAGAAAGAATTTCCAATTTCCATCAGATATTCAAAGTAGTCTATAACTCCCAAAGGTAATGTATATACATCACCACTCTAGAATGAAGAAAGTACATGAGAAATAGGAAAATAGCTGAACTTCAAACTCATTGCTTATAAAACAGTACTGCTTATATTTTTAAAAGTTAACAGGGGTTGGCCAGGTGGCTCAGTTGGTTAGAGCAAGTGCTCTGAACAGGTCTGCCGGTTTGATTCCCACATGGGCCAGTGAGCTGCACCCTCTACAACTAGATTGAAGACAACGACTTGAGCTGAGCTGCCGGTGGGTGGCCGGATGGTTCAGTTGGTTAAGAGTGTGTGCTCTTAACAACAAGGTTGCCAGAAGCAGCGCAAAATCCCATTATGATCAGAACTATCTCAAGATGTGAGGAGGAGGTTTCTCCTGGAAGCTTCTGAGCTCTTCACTAAGGGCAGGAGCTTGTCTAGGAGATGGGAAGAGACACAGGGGCTTCTTGCAGTCCCCCCCAGAGAGCGTGAAGGTGCTGCTCTAAACATCAGCTCCCAAGGGAATGTGTGAAATGCAATGATCGGGGCATTCCATTACAAACATTAGCCTGTCTTCATACGTTTCTTGCTAATGATTTGCAAACTAAGGAAGAGATATGAAAGAGTAACAGAAATGGAAGACGGATTATTTTCCCGTGCCTTAGCTCAAACCTGACCGACAAGAGTTATCTATCCCATACCTCTCTTCTCCATGCTATGTTCTCCTGAGGGTCCTCGATTCTTCAGTGGTCTACAACCTTTTGTTAAAGACAGTGAACACCTGCCTCTAACAAAATCCAACCCATTAGCCCTATTATGGAAAGGGAACCAGTAAAGGCAGTCATCGGGACTGAAGTCGTGGACCTGGAGGTCAACCACCTGCCAAAGCCACTCCTCCGTCTTGCTGGAGGGTCTAAGGAACCCAGTGCCAGTGCCTGGCTCAGAAGCTACAGCCCATCAGCTGTCATGCCCACAACACCTGCTTGCCACCTTAGCCACTTTTCCAGGACACAGCCCAGGGTGCTGTAGGTCTGTCTCCTCAATGGGCCCCGTGTACCTCAAAGGCAGGCACCAAGTCCTACTCACTGTGTCCCCAGCATCTCTGGGTCCAGTGCCTGTCACACTTCAGGTGTGCAGTCTGCTGGGGGCACCTGGCTGGCACAGCTCATGAGGGAGGCTGTGACATGAGCCTCACAGTTCCATCCGCCTAGGCGAGGAAAGAATGTGAAGCCATGACTTCCACATATACTTTTAAGTGATTTCACATCTGTTCCCTCATTTGATCATTACAAAAGCCCTGGGAATCAGGCAGGAAACCATTCACACCCCTTGTCACAGAGGAGAAAACTGCAGGGAGAGGTTAAGTGCCCGTGCAAGGTTACTTAATGGAGTGTGGCCCGCTTCTCTTTGAGGAGACTCTAGGAGCAGTGAAAACCTCCAAAAATAAAACGTTATAACACGAAGATCCAAATGCTCCGTACAGATACACGCATGTGCTCCTGAATAATCAGAAGTCTCTGGGGGGAAGAGGGAAGAAACTTGGAGCTGACAATATCTTTTTATAATTCTCACTATACTAGTTTTGAGAAGAAACAGGAAAAAAAAGGCCATTTTTACTTGAAAAAAATGGAAACAAACATACAGTGACTAGAGGAAGGCAATTCAGTAAAAAAAAAATAAATTAAGTGGCTCAAAAATAAAAATTATGGCTCCATCTTATACCACTTGCTTTTACCAATATTACACTAAAACGTCTGGTATGAAATGTTTTGGCATTTTACGGATTCTGCTATACTTGGAAAACACAAGTTTTATATTTACAAAGATTTTTGTATATTTAAAAAATGAGTTATCAATATATAATTTTATTAGTTATGACATTGTTTTATCATGAAAGTAGAACAGGCACATTAAAGAAAATTTTGAAATTACGTTTTAAAAAATGACCCAGAGGCTCATCATAAAACAACCTACTTGTGGCTTTCTGGTTTATTTCCTTCCAGTTCTGTACCCTACATGGATGGGTTTCTCTTAGCTGTTTTATGATGTGGTACATACCACATGTACCGCTTCGTATCCTGAGTTTTCCCCGTAACATTGTATCATAAAAGCTGCTCCAGGTTATTACGCCTCCTTTGTAACCACAATCTATAATACACTGAACTACTATGCAATACTTTAAGTGGTTACACCACAGTTTACTTAGCACTTCTATTTTTAGACAAGTAGGCTGTTGCCAAATTTTTACTATCATAAATGGTGCTTTAATGAACAACTGTTATTTTTTTTCCCTTTATTTCTTTTAGATAAATTTCTAAAGTATATTACCAGGTCAAAGTGGATGATAATTTTGAAGACTTTTGACATACTCTATACCAAATTGCTTCCCCAAAGGTCTAATACACATTACTACCGGCAATGAATGAGATGCTTATTTGATTGTAGTCTTATCAATAATCAGTAAAATCATCTATACCAGTTTATTATTACTTTTTGCTAGTAAGTGAAAATACATCCTCACTATGCTATTTTACATCCTTGAGAATGAATACTTCTCCTCCACGACTACTAATTGAACTTCTTTTTCTTCTGTAAGTTATTATCTATGTCCATTTTCCATTTATCAATTGGCTATTTATGTAGATTTAAAGCTAAATTTGCATGAACATTTCCTACAATTAAAATGTCAACCCAACATTGACCATAGCGGTGGGAAATATTATTTCTCCAATCTATGGTTCACTTCAAATTTTTGTTTGAATTTGTCCTTGGACACTGCCACTGTTCTTTTCCTTTGTGATTTTCAAAGAAGCTTTGGAGCCAGCTCCCCCACACTAACCCCTTCCCCCCTGTGTGATAGTATTGAACTCATTTCCTCCTCAGCTCTCATGGCTTTAGCATTACACACCCATATTCAAGAGGCATTACCTGTTGGTCATCAGGAGTCCATATGCCACATGTGATTTGACTTTCCAAGTTGATCTCGGATGACCAGTGTCTTTGTCCACTGACAGAACCGACCAGGACAAACCCATCTCGATAAGAAATAAGTGCTTGAGTCCCATCGTGGCTCCACGTGAAATCACTCACCTTTGAGACACACACAGACAAAAGGGGTCAGTTTGTAATCTAGTAGGAAAGTACGTTTACCAAAGACTAGATATGGTCATTAACTTAGCCTTTGGCTAAGATCGAGATGGCTTTAAGAGAATATAAATATAAATATATAAAATTTACATGTATTATAACATCATATAAAAGACATCATATGAACCATCTGTGGGCGGTATTATCATGCCCATTTTACAGAGAAAACAGGCAGAGGGGATAAATAACTTATCCTCGGTCACACACACGGTTGACAAATGGCAGAGCCAAGAATAATTCTAGGGTGTGTGGCTCCAGCATCCTTGCGTTTAGCCACTGTTCTATGTCCTCCCACTTATGGTGAGTGAATAACATTCTCCATTAGTGTCTTTGGTCACTTATCAAATTAGTAAAGCTCTCAGTTTCTTGTCTGTTTTGCTAACAATATTTTCTCAAAAAAATGGGGGGAAAAATAACTGCAAAACATTACTTATACTTAGATGTTGAGTTTTGTCTAATGCATTTATTGCATGTATTCAAATGACCATATCTTTTTTATCTTTTAATTATTACAGTGAATTGCTTTTATCAACTTCCCAAAACTACCCTTGTGTGCGTAGAAGCAGCTCAACTTGGCAGTGATGTCTTTTACACACACAGTTGATTTGCTAATGTGTTTGAAATTTCTACATCTGTGTTCATGAGTGAAACAGATTGATTTCCTTTTACTTAACGTCTTTGTCTGGACTTCTCAGGATTATGCTGATATCTCAGAATGAGTTGGAGAGTAGGCCCTTTCCCCCCACTACCTGGAAGATCCTGTATAAACTGGGATGACCTGTTCTTGACAGGTTGGTAGAATATGCCTATAAAACCACCTGGCTCTGAATCATTTTGTGGGAAGATTTTAAACCATTGCTTTAATTTATGTCATAGATGTAGGAGTAGTCAAGCTTTCAAGATTTTTATTTCTTCTTGAGTCAATTCTATTAAAATATTTTTTAGGAATTTGTCCAGTTCATGTAAGTTTTCAAAATTCCTGGCAAGTAGTTGGTTATATTTTTTAGTCTTTTAAAATTCAACATTATTTAAGTATAATTTACATATAATAAATGAAAGTTCCCCTCGGCAGTCATCCCCCTACCCTCACTCTTGGTCCAAGGCAACCAGTGAGTGATCGGATTTCTGTCCAGTTGCTTGTTCTAGGATTTCACATGAATGGAACCATACAGCACGTCGACTTTTGTGTATGGCTGCTTTTAGTTAGCATGATTGTGAGAGCAGTTTGTGTGCATTTCTTTTTATAGATGAGTGATATTTCATTGTATAAATACACAATTTATTTATCCACCTAAATTGCTGGACATTTAGGTTGCTCCCAGTATTTGGCTATTACAAAATTGCTATGAACATTCATGTGCAAGACCTTCTGTGGACACATTTCTCTTGAGTAAATAATTGTTTGAAATTCTATACTCAATAATTCCAGGAGTGGGATTAATTGCTGGGTCATATAGTAAGCATATATTTAACTGCATAAGAAATTTCAAACTGTTTTCCAAAGTGGTTATATGGTTTTACACTCCCATCAGCAGTATATTGGAGTACTAGTAGGTCCACACCTCACCAACACTTTGTGTTGTTGGCCTTTTTTATTTTAGCTATCATAGTAGGTGTATAGTGATATGACATTGTACTTTAAATTTGCATTTCCCCAACGACTAGTACATTGAGCATCATTTCCTGTGTTTACTGATCAATGTCACATCATCTTTTGGAACATGTCAGTTCAAATCACTTGCCATATATATCTATTCCTATGTATATATTCATAGTCACCTATTCATATATGTTAAGAAGAAGCTGGCCTTCTTATTGTGTTGGAAAAATTCTAGATACAATCTTTTATCAGATGTATGTGCTGCAAATAATTTCTCCCACTCTGTGGTGTGCCTTTTTATTTTCTTAATGGTATCTTTCAAAGAGAAAAAGTTTTAAATTTTGATGAAGTCCAATATCGATTTTTTTCTTTTTATGGTTCATGCTTTTTGTGTCCAATCCAAAGAATTTTTACCCAGCATTGCAAATTCAACGTTTCCAGGAAAAGTTTAGCTTTTACATTTTATATCTATGTTTCATTTAGGGTTAATTTTTTGTGCAGGGTGTTAGGTAAGAATCAAGATTCTTCTTTAAAAATAAATAATACAGATAATCACTTGTTTTAGCACACTTGTCAAAAAGACTATTCTTTCCCACCACTAAATTACAAATTATCTTTCTTGTTTCATTGGATTTATTGTTGCTCATTTGGTAACTTTTTAATGTCGGATACTTATCTGACTACTGATCCTTATATTGTAAGAACAAAGTTTTATTCCTTTCTAATATAAATAATTAAGGGGATATATACAAGTATTTCTCTCATGTCACTTGAATCATATCTCACAAATTTTGATATGTAGTGATTTTATTATTCAGATCTACGATTTTATAAATGTCCATTAAGTTTATTCTTTAACAATGCTATTTAACAATGTATTTTAAAATTGGTCCAAGGCAACCACTGAGTGATCGGATTTCTGTCCAGTTGCTTGTTCTAGGATTTCACATGAATGGAACCATACAGCACGTTGACTTTTGTGTATGGCTGCTTTTAGTTAGCATGATTGTGAGAGCAGTTTGTGTGCATTTCTTTTTATAGATGAGTGATATTTCATTGTATAAATACACAATTTATTTATCCACCTAAATTGCTGGACATTTAGGTTGCTCCCAGTATTTGGCTATTACAATGTATTTTAAAATTACCAAACATACAGGAATTTCTTAAATTTATCTTTGTTATTAAGTTCTAATCTAGCAGCATTGTATTCAGAAATTATGGTCTCTAATTATGATACCTACCAGTGGAAATTTGCTGAGGTTTAATTTATGCCCTAAAACGGGTTGGCCAACTATGGCCAGTGGGCCAAATCTGTCGTGCCATCTATATTTGCTTAGCCTACAATCTACAAATGGTTCAAAACAGTTTGAGAAAAAAATGAATAGAAGAATGATATTTTGTTATATGTGAAATTATACCAAATTCAAATTTTAGTGTCCATAAATAAGGTTTTCAATTTCACCAATAAAAGTTTTCTGGAAATCCATTTGCTTTCTTGTTATACAGTATTTACATAATAGCCTCAATTTTGGCTTCTAGTCCACAAAGCCTTAAATATTTACTATCTGCCCCATCACAGAAAAAGTCTGTGCAACCCTAGAACATGATCAATTTTTGTAAATGTTCTATGTGTTTGAGAAAAATGTATGTTCTCTCATTGGTGGATACAGAATCTATAAATGTCCATTTGGTCAAGCTGTTAATTGTGTTGTTCAGATCTTCAGTATCTTTGCTGATTTTTGTGTTTGTTGAAACATCTGAGTATATCAATGAAATTATCAATTTCTCCTTTCAGTTCTGTCAATTTCCTCCATATATTTTGAGGCTACTATTCATAGGTGCACACATATTTAAAATCTTCTTGGTAAACTACAGCTTTTATCATCATGTGGTAATCCTTTATAACCCAAACACTGCTTTCCGTCTTTAAGTCTGTTTTCACTGATAGTAATACTAGCTACTTCATCTTTCTTTTTTCCTTGATATTTGCCCGATATATCTTTTCCATCCTTTTACCTGAAAATTACGTGTCCTTAAATTTTAGTCTTAAGAAATATAATCTATCAAGCATTATCTTTTTGATTGGTAAATTTAGTCCATTTATACTTATTCTAATTATTGTTATATTTCGTCCTATTTCTATCATTTTAATTTACTTTTTCAGTTTGTACTGCTTTTTCTTTAATCTTTTCTAAATAAAAGAAAAAATGTATACCTATAATCTTCACTATTGTTTATACTTAGAAATGTTCAACTTTCTTTAAAATTTGTGGCATTACTAGATATATCACATTTGAGATAATAATAAAATCAAAGAACATGAACTTTTGCTGTTTTCCCAGCAGGGGTTATGAATTTATGTTCAATGTCTCCATTGTGACAATGGCAGAGATGTGTGAGATAGCTCTTGACAAACAGGTGGTCTGAGGTTACTGAAAATAGTTGCTTCCTTAGGTCAACTCAGAACTTTGGTTTCACTGACCTTATGTTTCAACCAATTACATATCTAGTTCTTCTTAAGAATTTAAAACATGTTTTAGAGACAACACATGAATTCTGTAGTAAAATTTAAAAGTCCTTTCATTCTGCAAAGATAATGCCATTTATTTACACGCATTTTAACTCATTTATCTTGGAAAATATTTTACTAAAAGGAAAAATATCATATTAGAGGACTAAAACATATAGTCAGTATAAACAATGTTCTCCGAGGCATCACCAATCTTACAATCACAAAAAATGATAATGGGATGCTTACATAAACTAATTGGATTTGTTAAATTAGGTCAGCACAGAGTGATAAGAATATACTACAATTGGAAAAACAAAACAGGGGAAACTGAGTACCAAATGCTGTAAAGAAAATGAACAGAAAGTCCCCTTCCACGGGATGTCTTTCAGTTGCAGAGGACTGCAGTGCCGTTGGTTCAGGGATGAGCGTTCTCAGACCGGATTAACTGAAGCTGACAGCAGCCTGTATTGCCCACTGCCTGAGGCAGCTTTTTATCAGACCATCCTTGGTGACTAATATAAAACAATGCATACACTGTTCCAGGCTCATTTTTGAAATAAGACTCAATCATTTCCTGAAAAATAGATTGTTACAGCATCACTTCACTTTTATCAGATGTTTGATTACTTTGTCTCAGTGAAAGAATCGCTATATAACAAGAATCACCTGTCATTTCTTCTAAAAAGCGTCATTTTTCTCTGCAGACTTCAAGGATGTTCCTCTTCCAAGCCACACAACTGTCCTTCCTCCCGCCAGACACTGCTTCAGGTGCACACCCACCACTCCTTTGATCAGTGATTCGTCACCACCAGAGTGTGATGTTTTTTACTTAGAGAAGATCTGACTCCAACACAATTAAAAGCAACAAAACCTCCCTCAAATGTAGGCATTTAATGGTGACAACTGCTCAATGGGTTCTGAGGAACTCAGAGTTCCAAAACATAAAATTATATAAAAATATGAATCAGGTCACAAGATACAGTGATTACGTGGGTAGAACCCGGCAGGCACAGGCATTTTTGTGTCTAGGTGCTTCCAGAAGTTCTATGGCCCATGTAAGCTCATTCACCTCCATCTCTGAATTCATTCTCCCTTTCTTTTTTGAACATGCTTGTTTGCACCCAATTCTAAATCACAAGAAAAGCTGAGGAATATGGTGGTGGCGGAGACCATGCTGCTGCTATATGGAGGTGACAGAGGTTTCCTCCTCAGAAAGGCTGCCGTCCGGAGAAAATATGTGGCAGCAGCTTCGTGAGGCTGCTGAGGCTGGACTCTCAAATGGTTATGAGGCCTGAGCTCTTTTGTATAATGTTGACCTTTACCAAACAGACAGCCAGATGGGTTTATTCAGGAATAACAAAGAATTGCAATTAGGAACATGCGGTCTAAAGGTGAACAATGCACAAGTCCCAAGAAACAAAGGAGAGAAATGCTCTTTTATGGACTTGGAAGGGGCTGTGGTAAATGGAGTGTTCACTGGAGGAAATGGGAGGTTCAACGTTTAGTGACTTTCACTGGCTGAGTTCTGGCGGTCTCCCATCGGCTGGGCTGTTACTGGCTGGGCTGTTACTGGCGAGGAGGAATCTTTCCTCCTCCTGCTGAGGTAGTAACGTAGCATCACTTCCCGTCAGAGATGCAAGGTTTTTCTCTTCCTGTGGGGTCAGTAGTCTGCGTTGAGAGTCACATACATCAAGAGTTCTTTCTTCCAGACTCTCAACTCCTTTTAAATGAGGTTTCAGTTTAACTTTCACATTTCCCCTTTTTGATTAAGATCGCTCTCCCAAAGCCTCAGTGATCAAGAGCCGCCAGGCTCTTCTGGATTCAGCGGCCTTTTGTCCCGTGACTCCAGGAAGGGCCTTTCCTGGGTGTCATGTACCACGTCAGAGGGAAAGTGCATAGATTGGAAACCTGTGGCCACATCTGAGTAACAAGGGTAGGAAGGAGACCTCTCAGTCATCTCCCTTCTAAAGATGTATCTTAGGACAGTGAATACAGAAAAGGTACACTTAGAACTGAAAGAATTAAATAAGCACTTGGGAAGACACAAGGCAGGAATAAAACATGAAGCAATTAAACATATTGTCATCTTAAAAGAAACTGTTTGGAACAGTATGTCTTATCAATATATTATGAATACATGCATTTCTGCTAAAAGGGAAAACAGTTTCTTGTCTGGGAACAAGACACTGTGATAGAGCGTTTTGGACTCAAACCTAGTTCAAATTCTGACTTTCACACCTATGAACTTTCTTGGGCAAGTTATTGAACCTCCCTGACCTGGGCTTTTGTGGGGTTTTCTTCTTTCTATTAACTGAGAATAACATCTTCCAAATAGGGTTCCTGTGGTGACTGAGAGATAACACATGAAAAGGCCAAGCACTGAGTTGGCACTCCAGTTACGTGTCACTTTCTTTCTCTAAGTAATGCTTTAAAGGCCTCCTGCTGTCCAATTAAAGCCACATCTCACCTCACCACTGGGCCTTTCTAAGGAGAAGAGTTCATACTTTGGTGGTCAAGAGAATTACAGCACTTTAGAGACCCTTCAGAGAAGTCTCCACTTCACAGAAAGCCATGAAGAGCTGCTGCCTCAAGACCTGAAGCTGATCATTGGTGATGACATTATGGCTACTATTGTAGGGCAGGTAAACTCTGTGCTTGGGGGCTACGAGGTAGTAGCACCTCATAATTCTACAGATACTATGCCAAGATGTGAAGACAACTATCATGTGTAGACAGTGCTATAAGCACTTTCCATACTTAATCTTATTCAATCCTCCTAGTGACCCTCTGAGGCAGTCACCATTAGATGTTACAGATGAGGAAACTGAGGCACAGAGAAGTTAAGTATTTCCCATCAAGAAGTCATAGAGTGAGATTCTTGGCCTGTGTGGTCTGACCGCAGAGCTCACGCTCTTGACCACAACATCGACCCCCTGTGTGACATGAACTTCTCAGTCACGGGGATTTCTACACCAACAACTCTATTTAGAAGGCTAATTTGCAGTCACAAGTCAGGTTCTATCTCTTCCATTTTCACTCTGTGGAAGTATGCAGGAAACAGCGAAGGCCTTTTCAGAGTCAGTCAAAATTAAACTCACAAAGAAAGAAATATTGTTTTTACTCAGAGATGGATTTGTCTTCTGTGATCTGAGATGTCTTCTGACATCTCAAAAAGATCCTCAAGTCTGCTACTAATAAATGCTAATAATATCTTCATTCCTTGCAGTTTTATGTCACTTCACTGGTCTGTATCTTTCAAACTTGGGGAGCTCATAGCTTATTTAAGCAACAGATGGGAGAGGAGAGGATGAGAATCCTTTCCTTAGAAATGTATAGAGGCAGGCAGGGGGACACCATCCCTGGAGAGTAAAACAGTCTAAGAAACCCCTCATCAATAAAGGTCTCCTGAGCGCTGGGCTCTGAGGCCAAAGTTCTGTTAAATCCCTGGGATGGGACATGCGTCCTGAAACACAGAACAGGAGTTCCACGCAGACCATCATCACACGGAACGCAGAGTAGAGCTGTCCCATAAACCAGAAGAATCTGTGAAGCAGGTTTTAACACAGCATGGCTCAGCAGGGTGTCCCTGGAGCAATTGTTTTCCTCAGAGCAGAGACAAATTTGTGTCAGAAAGGAAGAGTTGACAGATGACAACAGGTGGCCACGTTAATTGAAACCTGATAGAAGAAAGCGTTAAAAGCTCAGCTTGGTGAGTGGGTTGTGAGAAACAGGTAGAACTCCCTGTGAGGAACCATGAAGATTACAACACAAGGGAAAATACCTTTTGGAAGGGAGCAAAAAAGTGATATGTGGGAAGCGCTTCAGAGGATCCAAATTTAACATATAATCACAACACTGAATGGTAAAAATGATTTCACAGATTTAATTAAAGCTTAAAACTTGGCGTGTTCTCACAACAGCAGCATAGTTGAAGAGAAGGAAGTATGATCTTTCTCTTTTTATCTAGTGACACTCTCATAAGGAAGGAAACGCAGGGTTCTGGTTTCATTTATTTCTGCTCCACCTATTTCTGGTGAGTTTTCCTTTGCCCTGGCGCATGCTCTGCGGCGTATTCCCGCCCACTCACCTGAGCCCCTCGGTCATTAACCAGTTCCACAGACCATCTTCCTTCATACTGAATCCACACAAATATCCCTCCGTCTGCATCACAAGTGGCCAGCTTCTGGTACGGTTCATTCCACCTCACCAGCACAACCTAGAAAACAACCAAGAAGATATTTACCACCGGGAAGGAACCAGGGTCACACGGCCCAGGATGACGCCTACCAAGAGATCAAACTTTGGTACTAAGCAGAGCGAACGCGTGGTCAGAGGAGAAGACTGGGGGAGGATGTGCGGATTAGCGGAGGGGACAGGGCACAGACCCCACATGGCAGCGTCCCAGGGAACCAGACCCACAAGACATGGCTTCCTGACAAACGGCAGACACCTGAGCAAACAACAAACTATAACATGAAAATGCCCACTGTTATAAAAACAGAGAGGGCCCAGTGCCCATCTGTGCTCTGCGTTGCCTCTCACAAGTGCAAGGATCGCTCATCTGATGGTTTTGTATGATGGGAAAACAATTTTCACAAAATTTATAGTGTATTTGAATCAGGCTATTATTTATTTAGCACAGAAAGAGGAAAGGATGGGGCCTATTTAATTTCATTTTCATCCCAAAGGGAAATTTTCTGTATCTTTTCTAGACTCTTACTTCCAAGTAGTTCAGCATCTAAACATGGCCAACTCGGAAAACACACATTTGAAATATCTAAGTTGTTTAGAATTCATCACAAAGGAAATAGAAAAAAATTATAAGTTTCAAAATGTGTGAGTATAAAAACTTAATTTTAAATGTGAAAAATTCTGACCCAGGATAATCACTTCCATCTTTCTCAACTATCGCTCCCTCATGTAAAAGGTGGACCCTCTATGAGGTGGTTTGTGGGATTAGGTAAATGCGTGCCTCATGGGGCCCAGGGAAACCTGTAAGGACACAGGGCTATTAAGTGAACCCAGGAGCCCGGGAGCCACAAAACCAACAGCCCGTGTTTGCTGTGGAGAAAGTGCCCCGAGTGTCACCAGGCTGGCCCATGCTGGACATTATGTCAAATTAATTCATCCTGTCAGACATTGCGCTTGTACTTATTTGGCTCACGCCGTGTGACGTTGTAACCAATATGGAGTTGGAGAAGACTGCATCCCACTCTTGGGAAAAGTCCGCTGGGAGCCGGAACATTCACAGACATGCGGTCATATGCTGATGAGTGTCGGTCAAACTAGGACTGCCACTAACCAGCAAGAGCGCGCCTGTAATTCATAAGGAAGGTCTGAATCCTGTCTCCTCCTAGGACTTCGTGCCTAATCAATTAATAACCCTTGTGAATGTGTGGCACCTGTGGAAATGGTCTCCAAATTTAACTTACACAACTGACCCTTGAACAACACTAGGTTAGAGGGGCTTAGTCAAAAATCCATCCACCTATAACTTCTGACTCCCCCAAAACTTAACTGCAGCCGTCCCTCAGTATCCATAGGGGATTGGTTCCAGGACCCCTGTGAATACGAAAATCCAGGGGTGCTCATGTCCTCTATATAAAATGGCATAGACCAATGCATACAGTCGGCCCTCCTCATCTGCAGTTGGTTGAATCTGTGGCTGCAAAGCCTGGGGATACAGAGAGCTGACTGTACATATACTAAAAAACATCTGCATATAAGTGGACCTGTGCAGTTCAAACCCATGTTGTTCAAGGTAAGCTGTATTCTAAAATAGCAACTGGGGCCAATGAGATTGTTAAGGACCCCCAAAAGGCCAGACCCGTCCTCACGCCCATCTGTGTCCAAAACACAGACCAAAGCAGAAGCCCCATCACTTCTCAAAGCTGTACCATGGGCACACCTGAGTTTAGGTCATGAAGCTTGTTTTCAGGGCACCAAGGAGGTAGGAGCGGCCCCCAGCCTTGGTCTGCCACACATGGTGGTATTAGCATTAGTTGTAAGATGCACAATAAAATCCTCAAATTTTCCAAGAGAAAATTATTACCCACTTACAATGTAAGGATGGTGTAGCTCTTATGTAAAACTGCAAAAATCAATGAGAACTGTGTGGTTGCAATCCTGATCAAAGCAATCACCAGTCAAATCTAGCTGCGTTGATGGCTCCCACGCCAAAGGGAACTGCCACGGGTGCAGACACTGATAACTCTTGGCAGCCCTGTCGGGCTCTATCCCTCTGCCGAGACCACTCGCCTTGCTCTGTCACGGGTGTGCAGGTAGTTACACCATCCGCTGTACTACCGTGGACATGCACCCTCCCTACTGAGCTGAGCTCACCTCTGAATACTGGCACACGGTCATTTTGGGTATATTGTGCCAAACAGGAATACATAATTAGAAGTTATGACCCTCATTCAGTTAAATCTTTGAACTATAAAAGGTTATTGAAAAGGATTTCAAGCAGGTTATTCAACTCCCAAAGGCATTTTAACAGCAGCTAATAGTGACTGCTTGTCTATTACAAGCTGTTAGGTGTTAAGCATAGACGTTAAGCCATCTCTATCCCCACAGAGCTCAGTTCACTAAGTGGACCCAATCTAGTACTCGAGTTGCAATTAGAGAGTTGTGAACACACAGGAGGGCCCTCGACACAAATCCAGGTTCAGTTTTTTTAAGTCTAGTTTTTAAAATTCTCTATTTAAATTACTGATCTAATTTTTTAAAAGAGTAAAACCAACACAACAACGAAAGCCTTTAAATGCACTGACTGTATCATAAAATTCAGAATTTCCTAATGGTCAATAAAAGCCAACTTCATAAACTTCTTCCAGACCCCATGATGATGTGGCCCAATCACCACAATTCACAAAGGTGCACGTAGGCGGCTACAGTTTGGTTCCTAAAGCCACATATGCGATGTGTAAGCCCACAATCACTGACGGATGCCAGAATGGTTGCCACAGGACAGAATACGACCAATGACATGACATTCACTACTGATCGTTTTTGGAATTGTTTCCTTAACACAGTGAACGTTCACCTACTATGACCTTCCTTATAAAACAGTAGCAGATTTGGGAGTGTAGAAGTCAGTCACATTTTCTATACTTGCATGTTTTTGCTTTACCGTATGGCTGCATGTTTAGCTCACATCAATAATTATGCCCCTCTTCGTCATGAAAATAGCCGGCTGGCACGGTCACAGCATGAAACAAACACAAAAGAGCAGAGGTGAAACATATTTTAATTTCTAACTTTAAAGAGTTTGTGGTCTTATGAGAACATAGTGGCAGTTGTTGGAGAAACAGCAAGTTCCCAAACTCCCTCTCATCTTTTTGTTAATTCCTGATCAACTGAGACACAGCAGTGAGTGGAAATGCAGTCCCCACTTGCACACTTCTCTGCTGTGAGTTCTACCAGTACAACTGGATAGGTGGGCAGCGCCCCTACATTAAAGGCATCTTTCTGACGATTCTTGGTTTAAAAATAAAGTCGACTGCTAAGGCTGTCTCCCTGGATTAGCATTCTCATTTCCTCTCCCGTCTGCAGCGCGTAGCTGCCCGCCTTATCTCCCGGCAGCTGATTTCCTGCTCTCTGGATCCTTGCAGTCTATCTGGCAGCGTTAGGACATACCAGAGCATTGATGAATTACCAACCAGCCGGCCAGCTGTGTTCTCAGTCACCCCGATTATGTGGCAGGGTGCTCAGCATGTGCCCAGACAGTCTAAGACAGAACTTTCCTTCCCTTTTAAAGGAAAATGGGGCTCAGGTTTCCACTGAGCACAAAAGAACCTCAGCATTTAGGGTGTTGGTTGAAGTGCATGTTCTTCTACTAAGAAGACAGGATAAGCTAAGCTTTGACCAGGGTCTTTGATTGTTGAAAACCAACGCCAGCCTGCTACCCTCGCCAATGTAAGATGTTCTATCATGTTACAGTTATTTGTATCAATAAATACTTGTTAAAAGTAGAGAAATCGACACTAAAATGTAGGGCAGCTCTGCTGAAGGTCTATTTGGGCTGTAATCTAATGCCTAAAAAGTCACCTTACTTCTGACACCTAGAACTATTTTTAGGAAGAACAAAAGAGTCAGTTAACCCAACTCAAGGATGTTCTCCTTTTCAGGCAGAACTCTTCAAATGGTGTTGACAAATATGAATATGATTTATATTTTATAGAAATATACAGGAAACCACCTCAGTGAACAACCAGGGTCACCAATATTCAGAAACATTTCCCTCAACCTAAAAAGAACATAATTAGAAAGAATGCTAAATACAAATAGCTCGAGTAATAAATCCCTACAAATGATTATTACCACTCAGTTGTTTTTAATTTATTAAGTGAAACAGCAATAACTTCAATTGTACAAGAAAAATAAAAATGAATACCAGTTTAATTTTAGACACATTTAGTCATTTAAACAAAGAACCAAGAGCATCTTAAAATAGAGGCTGGAAGAAATTCAATGTGCACAGCAGTTTTCCGACAAGTGCCCGCCAGCAGGAAGGTCCTGTGAAGTGCCGTGACAGGCGTGTGGCCTCCCCGCTCACCAGCCTCATCTGCCAGTGGAGGAAACAGCAGCATGTCTCTCTAGGCTTGTGAGGAATATGAGAAAGGACCTAGAACAGTGCCAGGCACACAGCAATCATTCAACAAATGAGACCTCTGTCTTATTGATTTGTGAGCTAGAACTTCCAGAACCTAAGTCTGGTTCAGCACACTATTTACATGTATGGTTTCCTCTTCTGTAATATAAAATAAACGGTTTGAAAGTCAGTCCCTTTTTCCACACCCACCTAAACAACTCTGTACCTTAAAAATCAACAGCCCCACACACTTGCTGCCACCTTTGGCCTGGAACTCCCTTCTGCCCCTGGGCACCTGGTGGTGAAGGTGACGGTCTCACCACTCCCTCTTGCCATGACCACGGCACCCTCTCTCCAGCTGTGGTGCATGCAATCACGCCCTGCACTACTTCCCCAAACGTCTATGTTCCTCCCCAACCTGACAACAACTTTGCTTTTGTGGTCCTGGGGCCCCAGCACTATGCCAGGCACACTCCACAAATCTTTCTAAATTGAACTATTCCTGAAGGACAATTAACCATATTTCTGTAGAATTTTATAATATTGTCTCTCAACAGTAAGATGTTAGAATTGGTTTAAATAAGGTTTTTCTTGGGGGCGGGGTAATAACAGCTTTATTGAGA